ATACTATAACATACAAAATTAATGGTAGACCTTGTGATTATTGAAAGAACATTGAGTTTTACTTGAGAAATAATATAAAACAAATTATACTTTGTTTCATTGGTGCTTTCATTGACGTCTAATGGTTGAGAATACACGTATGAAGGAGTTGTAAAATCAAGTTATGTATTAAGATGAAGAACTTAGGAGACTGAGGAACTTGTTGGAACTACGCAATCAAGCACAACATGACACGTATGAAGGAGTTGTAAAATCAAGTTACGCATTAAGGTAAAGAACTTAGGAGATTGATGAACCTGTTGGAACTATGCAATCAAGCACAACATGACTGTGATATTACCTAACAACAGTTATAACTCAGTTATAGACAACCATTACTAACTATTTGGACCAGATGTAGAAAACTATGATTTGTTGGTTCACAATCATTTTCAATCCTTTGGTGTTACGAACTCAAACAGGGATTCTATGTTCCATATGAAGGATATTTCACTAGGGTTTCACACATTTTGATGGAACCACATCGGTGCTTGAATGTATTTTTAAAGCTAAAAAGATTTTAACTACCACAAAACGCTAGATGTGAAGAAAGTGGTTATTGTAGCTATTCATTTTGGGTTGTCTTTATTTGATTGCCCAACACAAGAGTTGTTTAAACTGCAACAATCAAGAAGTATTTTAGAGTATTATCTCTGATTTATGGCATTGGCAAATGTTGGGTCTTTCGAGGAGGATTCACAGGAGAGAAACACATCAATAAGACATGAGTCCAACCCACATAAGGATTAACATCACTCTCAACCTAAAACCTTAAGGCATTAGGTTATGTGTCATACTTCTTTATATGTTGCTCAACTTTCACATTCTTACACAATGTGAGACTTAGACTCACACTTGTATTTCCTAACAATCTCTCCCTCAAGTGTGAATCCTCCATGTTATATACTCCTCGAGCTCACTAGTGGTCATTTCATGTACTGTCGTTCACTCTAACCTACTTTGTCAAGAAGACTATCAATCAACCTTTGACTCTGATACCACTTGTTTGGTCTTTTGATGGGGAATTCATAAGAGAGAAACACACCAATGAGGCATGAACCCAACCCACATAAAGATTGACATCACTTTCAATCCAAAACCTTAAGACATTGGGTTATGGATCATACTTCATTATATATTGCTCAACTTTCTCATTCTTACACAATGTGAGATTAGACTCACATTTGTATTTCCTAATAGCTAATAGATCCTCTGAACTTTTTGTCGAGGCTTTATTAAAATGTTTTATAAATGGCTTGAACAAAGATATTCGTAGAGATGTGATTATGCAATGTCCACTGATTATTACGAGCAGTGGCACTAGCCAAATTATATAAGGAGAAATATACACCAGTGGAGTACTTAAGAAGTTCAAATTATACTAAGAAGTATTCTCCTATTGCTTTTAGTAGTAATGTTGTTTTGGTAAAGCAAAATTCATCTAACGTTTACTTACTTCCATTATTGCATACACCTCTTACTAAGCCTCTTAGACCTATTCCTATAAATAAGATATCTTTGGCTAAGAAAGGTTGTGCTACTTTTGTGATGACAAGTTCATTTTTAATCATAAATGTCCCAATCTGTTTTAAGACAGACACTAGTTAACAATTTACCTATTAGAATGTTATTGGATGGAGGGAGATCGAAAAACTTTATCCAACCACGAATAACAAAGTTTTTAAAGTTAGATGTTGAATATGCTCCTTCATTTTAGGTTATGGTGAGTAAATGGAATTATATGGCTATATAGGGTATGATTAAAAATTTACTTATTCACATATAAAGAAGTACTTTCACACTGTCAATTTATGTGTTTCCCATATCTGGTGTTGATTTAATTTTAGTTGAAGACTATTGGTCCTTACATAGCAAATTTTGATTCCTTGTATTTAAAGTTTCTATATCAAGGACGATTTATTACTTTGTATGGTGATGTTAGTCAAATTCCTTTACGGACACATCTTTATTATATTAGATGAATGATTCATACTAATTCCATAACAAACATCTTTAGGATGTAAGTGGTGGAACTTAATTCTCCTCAATGCCATTGTTGGATAACATGAAACCTGAGTTAGCATTGTTACTTAATGTTTTTAGCTCAAATTTTAATACACTTACCTCTTTGCCACCGCAGAGAACTCATGATCACGCTATTCCATTGGTTGAAGGGTAAAGTCCTATCAAAGTAAAAGCTTATCGCTATCCTCATAGCCAAAAAGAAGAAATCGAAATATTAGTGCACGATATGTTACAATAAGGTATCATCCAACACAATAAAAGTTTTTTTTTCCTCTTCAATCATATTGGTTTAAAAAAAGGATGACACGTGATGAGTTTGTACATATTATAGAGTCTTGAATATAATTATAATCAAGGATACTTTTCCTATTCCTACAATTGATGAATTGATTGATGAGTTATATAGAGCCACGATTTTTTTTAAATTGAATTTAAAATCTTGTTACCATCAAATTTTGTTAAAGCCTGGAGATAAATATAAAATAGTCTTTAAAACACATCATAGACACTATGAATGGTTTGTAATGTCTTTTAGACTTACTCATGCACTAACTACTTTTCAAAGTTTAATGAATGATATATTTAAAAGCATGTTAAGAAATTTTGTATTGAATTTTTTTATTATATATTGATGTACAATTTTAGTTGGAATGATCATTTATATCATTTAGAAGTTGTCTTAAATTAGAAGTTGTCTTAAAACTATTATAGCAATATCCGGTTTTCTAAACATTTTTTTAATATTACAAGTGACCTAATTGTTAGAAGAAAATAGATGCTAACTTAAGTTAAAATTAAAATTTGACAATAAATATATTATTTACTGTCATGATGATTAAATTATAACTAATATAAAAAGTATAAATTTTATATATGATTTGTATCTATACAATTACAGAATCTATATAAAAAATTAAAATTCCTATAAACATTTAGAGGTGATGGAGAAGAGGACACATGAGAGGTTTCATCATATCTCATGTGTAAAAAAAGTAAAAAATAAACCTCCAAAGTAGAAAACTCTAGATCACGGTAAAATATATATATATATATATATATATATATATATATATATATATATATATTATGAAAAAAAAAAGAAAAAATTAATAAGGTTGTGATTCTAATTCCAATTCAGACATGAAAAAAAATAATCATGGTAAATTTAATCACTGAAAATTAGTTAATCTATAAACATATTATAAATATTTTGAACTTTTCTGATGTTGTAAAGCTCTCATGAAAAAAATTAATAAAATAAATAGATTATAATATTTCTTAAAATAATTTTTAATTTTTAATTTTTTTGAACTCTTAAGTAAAACATTCATATCTCATTATTTAATATTTATCTAAGTTTAAATTAAATAAATATTATTTCCAAAATATTTTAAATATATGTTATAACAAAGCAATTAAATTATAAACTAACTATAATTATTAACAGTTAAAACTAATTTATACACCTAACTATTTCATGATTGATATATCTATCTTCAAAATTTAAATATAATTCATCATCATCCAATAACAAGTAGTTAATATCTTAATAAAGATTATATTAATCATATTTCTCAATGAAAACTACGTTATACATCGAAATACATTATTGACTTTTTCTCTAGGCATGAACTACGACTTTCTCTCCTCTCCACTATGCTAACAGACGCACATGACAACAATTGTGAACAAGGCCATTGTGAGAAAACCCTTAAGTTGATTGTGGCATTAACTATGTGAAAGTTCATTTTTTTAAGTTCTATGGTTTTTCACTTTTAGTTAAAATCAAGATGCATATATATAGTTATTTAAACTTGTAAAATATTTATATAATATCTAATATTTGATAAAGTAAGAGGATGAGTTATTTAAATTTTGGTTGAACAGGAAAACAAGAAGTTGCAGCCCCAAGGCGGGACTGAAGAGAGCCCTATTGGATCTTGTGGTCTCCAGCCAGGTCAAATCAAATCTCACCGAATCATATCATAATCGTGTCGCTATTTCTAAATTCTAAATTATTTTCAAATAATAAATAATTAAGACGATTTTATTTTAATTCATTATTTCAAAAAGCTAGAAGATTCTATTTGTTCTGTGGTTTGTTTTGGCCTCATTCACTCATTTTCCTGGTAACAACCTCTTCAACAACAGAAAGAGAAACAATTGGTGTCATGGAAATATAACTCTGTATCAATGTAAATATTTTTGTATTATTCATTATTTAATTAAAATTCATTTTAAATGATTTTAAAAATTATTATTTTGAAAAACTAATAAACTTATATCATTTGTGATTCTAGGGTAAGGTAATGTAACGACTACTTCACATATATGTTTTAAATAATTTTAAGATAATTATATTATTTTTTTATTAGAATTGTGTGTAAATAAAGAAAATATATAAAATTAAAAATAGTGTGGATTGGAAATATAAAAAATAGGGGCACTCTTCATAATTTTCTACTCTCTTCTCAACTGTCTCGCCGTGTTCATCTCCCGTGCATAGCAGTCAGAAAAACACTGCGAGAAAGAGAAGAAGAATCAGAGAGAGAAAGGAAAAAACCCTTTTGACCATTGCGCCTCCGTTTCCATTTTGCTATTGATTCTACGAACAAAGTCTTTTTTTTTTCTTCATCTTCTGATCATTTCTTCTTATCTGGGGTACGAATCTGTTTGTGATCAACCCCAAAACTCCGATCTTTCTCCCTCCCCGATTCGGATTGGAATACCCACTAGCGTCTCTCTTTCTGGGTGTCTTTTGTTTTGGCCAAAGCTTCGTTTTGCGTAGTGGGAAAGTTTAAAAGGGGATTAATTCTATGTGGATTTCGCTCATATTGGCCAATCAATGTTGACTGTATCATCAGCGTGGTTATGAAGTAATATGGAAGTGCTCCTTGCGCGCATAACCCATCAACGACAACATCAAGGACAATAACATGTCGTTTTACATTGGTCGCGAGGCTTCAAAGGTTGCTTATTTCTTCTCCCCTCTCGGTATTGTTTTTTTCCTTATTTGTGTTAATGTTTGTTTGGTATTTGGTGTATGTTTGTGTAGCTATGGAAGAGAATTTGTGCAGAGACAACTACAGAGATCAACCTCCTTGCTGAGAATTGGAAGTACCTTCTCGCTGGTCTTGTTTTTCAGGTTTTTTCTATTTTGATCAACCTTAAGCAGGGATTGAGTGTGGTTGCTCAACTTGTGGTTTCCCTTTTGTGTAGAAGATTCCTTTTGTTTCCTTTGAAGAGGATAGAAAATAATTTTTGTAAGTGTTTTATGTTTGTTCGATTGGAGTTCAGTTTTTCTTGTTCATGTTGTCTGTCGTCATGGTTAGTGGTACAATTGGCTTCCTTTTGTTTATTTAATTTGTTTCTGGTTAGGAATGAACGAATGAGGTATATAATACTATCACATGGTTTAATCACTGAGGCTAATTTTGCCAACGATAACAAATTGTCAGAATTGATGGCTCAGTGTTTTAATGAGGGAACTTGTAATTGATTGAAGCATCTTTTGTCATATTCTGTGACTCTGATGATTTTGCTATATATGATGAGTTATTTGTTCCATCTCAAGAACAAATTTACTTACCCTTAGTTATCTGTGACACTCTGGGTTCTGGGAAGATGGTAAAATGTTTCATTTCCATCATTGGAAACATTTACTAGTTTGCAGTGGTTGTTGAGGTAGATATATCGAGTGCGTGTTTGTATTAAAATCAACTCTTCCATAATAGATTCCAATTTTACGTTGAAAGCGAAAGTAATAAACAGTTTTTTCCATTTTTTTCAATGTTTTTATGTGATGTTAGGCACCAGAAACGATTCTGGTAGTTATCCACATATGCACTGAGGAGCAATGTTTTATGAGAAAGAAAAAAAAATTACCAATTTTTGTAAAGTATATGTTTGTGTGTTTCTATTCTTGTCTATGTTATGTATGCATAAAGTGTAGCAGTTTATTACTTTGATTTCCTTGGTTTCTTGACATCTATTTTGAATGTTTGATGTCTGAATTTTGACTGTTTCTCTACAGTATATACATGGTTTGGCTGCCCGAGGAGTTCATTATTTACATAGGCCTGCCCCTACTCTACAAGATGTTGGATTCTTCCTTCTTCCGGTTTGTAATTGTCATATCGTTTTTTCTCTCTCTTACTTGGAGAATCCGGTACAGAGAATAGTAGGAATGCCCTTGTAATTTTTAACTTGGTACTGCTACAGGAGCTTGGGCAAGACAAAGCTTACATAAGTGAAACATTGTTTTCCATTATCTTTTTATCCTTTTTCTTGGTAAGAATCCCCTTTCCCTCTCTTTGATTCAGTTTTCATATATTAACTGTATGACTCTGTTGTGTCATGATTGAAATTTTTACGCCCACCATTTTAATATCTGGTAGGTGGCTCTTGTGATAGGTTATATTACCTACCTATGGCATCATCATAATTCATTAAGAGTTAAGGATAGTTCTATATTTTACTGAGAACTTTATGGGTCTTTATTTGATAATATGATAATTCTCAAGGTAAATATGCCTTGATCATGAATATGTGCTATACTGCCACCCCCTGGTGTTTCCTTGAAGTCAGAATACTAAACTGTTGAGCCTCATATATATATATATATTATTGTTTACCATTGTGGCTTTGAGAAGCTTGAAAAGTTACACATGAGGTGTTTGTACTGTCTGTTGTTGAGAATGATTTGCTGGGAAATAAAAGGAATCACAAATAAAATAAAAGCAAATATCTTTTCTTATTTTGTGGTTTGAAGTTTCTTCTCAAGAGATTTAGGACAGATTTCGGTGAAGGATTATTTTACTCATGATTCTAATGTCTTTATTTATGTTAATATTTGCTTGATATTTTTTGCTACTGAACGATTTGACATATATAGAATAACATTTCCCTATTTCAATTCTTATTTTCCTTTTTAGCTAATATGACTTATCTTTGTGAACTTCTCGTTTCGACTAGTATCATTTTATTTTATTTCCTTTTTGTCTAAAGTTTCAGATATATTCTTTGATATGTGATTTTGCAGTGGACATTCCATCCTTTCATATTCAAGAGCAGAAAGATCTACACAGTTGTAATATGGTGCAGGGTTTTAGCATTCTTAGTTGTAAGTGCTGATCACACATCTCATATTTATTAAAGTATTGTTTAATCTTTTAGGAGTCCTAATTAAATGAATGAGTTCTTAGAGTGATAGATTGATGAATTAGGATGAGTCGACAGTATAAAAGCAGGCTTTAATGCCACATAAAATCATGCTTTGCTTTACTCCCTCTTATATGGCTAGTACAGTATACATTTTTTGACTATTTAAATGTTTCAGATAGAGTAGTACCTATTCTGTATATATGAATGTGTCAATTTTCTCACTTCATCTACCCATGGTGTATTGTGTACCACAGGCTTCTCAAGTTCTTCGCATAATCACATTTTATTCCACACAACTTCCTGGTCCAAACTACCACTGCCGTGAGGTATCATTGTTTGAGAATATGTTTGTAAAATGTCACATGTGCTCATGTGCTTAATTAAGCATAACTTCTCTTAACCAGTGTAAATAGCATATATGTGCAAGATCTTTTACACATTTGTTTTTCATAGGTTCTTCTAATTCTAGACTACTTAATGTATCATGCAGGGGTCTAAACTTGCCACATTACCTCGTCCAGATAGTGTCTTGGAAGTGCTCTTGATTAATTGTTAGTATACATTATTGTATTGGAGCTGTTTATATTTGATTTCTATGTTATCCTTTTGACACTCATTTTAATTATTATGTGCAGTTCCGCGTGGTGTGGTCTATGGATGTGGTGATTTGATATTCTCATCGCACATGATCTTTACTCTTGTTTTTGTGCTCACCTATCAGAAATATGGCACTCGAAGGTAAAATTGACTTATATGTGTCTTTCATCTTGTTTTTTGTTGAAGAGTTAAGTATGTCACAACATTTTACTGCTGTAACTTTTTTTTGGCAAATTATTATGAGAAATGCTAACATTTTTTTAACACACACCCCCTATTGTTGTTTGGAATTACAAAATGTTTTAGCCACGCACCTTGTATAGGGAATCTAACTGTAATTTTCAATAAATTTTAATCAACAAGAAATTGGTAGAAAGAGTGTTGGTGACACATTTATTATTCATTTTATTTTCAATCTTTCATGTTGCATGTTTTGTTAATGTCTATTTAAATTCTGATTTGTTGACATTGATGAACCACTAGGTCGATAAAGCAGTTTGCATGGTTGCTTGCCGTGGTTCAGAGTCTTTTGATAGTAGCATCACGCAAGCATTACACTGTTGATGTAGTTGTTGCCTGGTAATGAGCATATTTTGCTGTAAGGAGAATATTTCACCATGTAACGTGAAACTGTGGCCTATATCCCTTTTGAGGTTTTATGTTTGTCTATTGTTGACAGGTACACTGTTAATTTGGTGGTATTTTTCATTGACAAGAAATTGCCAGGTTAGCACAAATTTGTCAGGCGATCATAATTAATAGCTATTGTCTTTTACACAGCTGCTATTTGCTGTTCTGACTTTCAGTTATTTTGCAGAATTACCAGACAGGTCAATTGCAGCTGCAACCTTGCTACCGATGAGCATCAAAGACAAAAATGACAGGACTAAAGAGGAGAATCACAAGCTATTAAATGGGAATTCTGGAGACCCTGCAGATTGGGTATTTTGAATATACTTGTCCTTTGCTTTGTTCATTTAACGTGATGTCTTTGTCTTTGATTTGGACATAACATGGATATTTTGATTTGCTCAGAGGCAGAGAACTCAAGTGAATGGCAAGATCATGGAAGATGGTAAAACACTTCTTGCAGACTCTGCCATGAATGGTGCATAGATATAGGAGCCTCTGCTGTACAAATTGGATCCACTTCAAAATTGCTGATGGAAAGCTGCAACCTTCAATTGAAGGATTTGTTGTCCGAACATTCACTTGTTTATTCAAATTAGTGGCCTGATTTGTTCTCGTGAAATTGAAACTGGGTTGAGCATTTCAACATTTTGCAGCTCATATCCCATGTCATGGCTAAATTATCTATACACACCATCAGCATGTGCCATAGAAATTTTTCATTCCCTCTTTTACTCATATCATTGATCCCACATACATAATAATGCTGTACAGTCTTTTGGTTGTTAAATCTCCTTGCACTCTCATGGTGACTAACCTAATGATCAAAACTACATGATAGGCCCGACTTTGTAAAAGTAATGGAAACTCTAATTCCTTGACCAACACTTTTACTCTTTTTGCTGGTTGAAAAGGGTTTGAAATATGAAATTATCGTGTTCATTGGAGGGTTTATTATCTGTGAAATGATTACAGGGTTTATTATCTGTGAAATGATTACATTGGTGATAATGAAAAGGAGCTAATACAAGCATGACTTGTTCTTAAAATTTGAGACGGTGACAAGTGACATGAGCAAGCACACGATGCTTTGACAGTGCATGTGCTCTTTTACGCATAACAATGCTTTATGTCCATTGTCCCATTCATTGTCCCTCCTCTGCAAACCCAATTTGGATGTTTTAGGTACCCTTGTATTCAAATAGTTTTCTCTTTAAAACACAAACTCTTTGCTGATGCAGCATGTCACATGCATCATTCATTTGTCACATGGGTCACCCTCTATTCTGCTTAATGTGTTTTTGTTACATTTTCCTTTGTTCAAGTACTTGGTCTAATCAAATGGGACACTGTGATCCTCCACATTATTGTCAATCCAGCAATTGTGAGATGTTAGTGAAAAGTTTGTGGTCATCCTCCATGATCATGCACTGTTTCATTATCATAATTTGGTTACTCAAAAGAGTCATTATTATTTTTTTCATATTAGAAAAATAATAATAATCGTACACTTATGTACATTGATTTAAGAAGTCTAATTTTCTTTATTACAATTATAATATTTCAATTATTTTAAATTATCATATATATAATATTTTACCGTTATTATTTTAATATAACTCTGAACTTCAATGTTTAAAATTTTTTATTATTATTGTTTTATTATTTTATCATATTTATTTTTTATTATAAATAATCCAAATTTTTGTTAACGTCAACATTTGGAGATGGATAGATATCACTTTTTTGTCATCCAATTTTGTCTAGAATGCCTACATCTGGAAATATAATCATTAGGCTTTTTTTTTTTAATTTTGAAAAATACAGCAATAGAATGTCAAATGAGTTTAACAGGGATATATATATATATATATATATATATATATATATATATATATATATATATATATATATATATATATATGGAATAAAATAGATTTTTTTTATGTTTTTAATATTTCGTATCTTTATAATTAAAAAAAAATCAAATCAAATTGGTCCTTCCATTGATTTATCAAACTAATTTTATCTACTTGATGACACATTTGTGGAACATGTAAATTTTACATTAACCCAAATTTTATCAACTTTTCAAATTAATATTTTTAATGACAATAATTATTATAAAAATTTATAAACTTATTATATATGGCAAGGTAAAAAATGTTTTACATTGTACTAGTTTATATATATATATATATATATATATATATATATATATATAATTAAAATCAATAAAAAACTTAAGGTGATTAGGTTTAAGAAAAATGTATTTTTTAATAGTTATATAAAAAAATTTATTTTTTTAGTCAAATATTTGCATAGGAAATGATAAAAATAAAAAATAAAACTATTTCCTCTACATTTCTTTTATAAAAATTCCCAATATATATCTCCCACTTGTGGTTTAGTTGATAAATTTGTTTTATGTGCACCGATAAGCTTATAAATTTAAGTTTCATAAGTTTAAAAACAACACATCTTTTACAAATATAAATTCAAGTATTAAACAACAAAAGTGAACTCTTTTTTAAGGGAAAAGTGGTGAATATTAAAAAGAAGGAAAAGTGGTGAATATTAAAAAGAATATGTGTCTACTTTTTGTTTATAATTTAAAATCAGATAAAGATTTTGAAATTCAGTCTACCAAAATTAACCAAATAACATGATTCTTTTATATGAAAATTTAATTTTTTTATTAATAAGAAGTATCCACCTATTTGACCGATAACTAATATTTTTTAAAATATTTAACTAATAATTTTAAGTACTTCTCTTTCCAAATTATGTTTAACCTACAAAATTTCAAAAGATAAGTAAAAAACTCTCTATATCACAAACACGTATTTGCTTAAATTGAGAATTGTAAATGCAGATCATGAATTTAAAAAAATAAAATATAAGTATATAAATACTGTCGTTATCTTTTGTCCCTACTTTTATTATTTGAACTAATTTGTGTGTAGTTGTGAATTTTGTTTTACTCGTTAACTTTCTACACATTTTGAATAATTATTTTTGTGACACCACTGGGTCTGAAAAAGATTGCCATTCTATATGTTACTTTTTGTATGGTTGTTGATTATTCAAAATTGGAAGGAATTTCCATTTGTTATTACAGCTAAGCAAAGTGAGGGTGGTCATGGAAGTGGTGATTACACAAAAGCAAAGCAAAGCTTCTTCTTCCACAGCTTAATACATTGAAGAATTTTGTAATGGTGGTGCCTGCGCAATTTAAGGTAGAAAAGTTAGTGAATGTGGAAAAGGGGGGGCATACAGAGTGAGTGATGATGGGAGAGAAACATTAAAACAGAGAGGGAAAGCAAAGCAGCAGAATGATAGGGTTGATAGGTGGGTGAGTGGTGGAAGAGCATCATGATTGAGGCATGTCCATCAAATCCATCTAACCACCACTTTCTTTGCCTTTCTTTACCTGCATGCTTCTACTTTCCTTCTATCAGGGTCCTCTTGACACCCACATAGGTGGTATCAATAATCACACCACCTCTCTCTTTCTTACTCTTTCTTTTAAAAATATGATTTTTTTTTTCTACTTGTCATAAAACTGGATATAACAAGTTTTTATACTAATACTACAATTCATACTGTGATTGTTACTGATAAATTTTTGCATTATAAATAAAAATCAAAATGCTCTGTTATCCATTGTCTTACCAAATGTTAATTATCTCAAAATGTTTGGATTCAAAGTATCGACACTTTCTTGTTTATAGAATTGTTTGGACCTTCATTTCGTGTTCTGCTTTTGTTTTCAATCAATTATTAGTTTGGTTTGTTACTCTACCGATCATGTCGTGTCATGCGCTCTCAAGTCTGTCTGGTGTGATTCTTATGATGAAGACCCTTTTCTCGATAATGGAATTTTCCTAGAAAATGGTGGAAAATTATATATATATGGTTAGAATTTACTTTAATATTATATTAAAAATATAATATATTTAACTCTATCTTAAATTGATTTAATAAATTTAATAAAATAAAAATTATATTTATATATTATCATCTCACAAATTTCATTTTCCATAAATTTTACAACTTTATATTAAAAATATAAATGCGATTTGATTAAAATCATGTTAAGTTTGATTTTAATGCGATTCTAAATTATTCAATTTATGTTTCATTATGCAGTGTTTTCTTTCATTATTGTAAAAAAATAATAATAATACGTTGGGATTTTCATTCAGAGTATACACAGTTTAAAATTACCTAGCTCAATGTAAAAAAGTAACTATTAATTAGATAGAAGATCCACACAGTTGTTTTTGAGTGAAATTTTTAAGTACTATTGTAATTTATTACGCATGTACATATGCTTTTTTTTATTATTTCAAATATTAATTTGTACCTAACCATTAAAATTATGTAATCTTTTATTTCAGAGGAGCTAAATCCAGGGTAATTTTTGGACTCGTCGAATTTTACACCATATTTTGAGCATTTTTAGTAAATTTAACTTTTGTTTAATTTTTTAGTAATTTTATGAAAAGATCAAATTATACGTATAATACATATAATAAAAAAATATATATGCATAGAACAAGTTGAACTGAAATTGAAAGCAAAAGCCTCTTGAGACGATATATTTGTGATGGACACGCATGATACTTGTGATAGCAACTACCAACGTCAATGGCTATTATGGAAGTTATTATGCATGATAGTGTTGTGTTGGACACGTGTAAAATTATGCCACGTGTTTTTAACATTATTCTGACACGTGTTTTGTAATTTTTTTTTTAAGTTTCCCTTGGAAACCATGTGCATACATCTCTGCCCGACATGTGTATACGTTAAAGAAATTGATGAATGGGAACATTTATTCATTGTATTATTATTTTATATATATATATATATATATATATATATATATATTTTTAAGTTTAGAGTCCTATAATTTTAGTTTCTTTAATACTTTTTGTTAATTAACTTTTAATTTTATTTGTTTGGTTTTGATAAAAAATTTTAAAACAATAAATTTATAGTTTATATTCTAAACTATTTTTAGTTAATTAACTTTTTAATTTTTTTTATTTTGATAATTCACTGTAATATTTTTAAAATCACTTGTCAAAATTTTAAAATGAATTTTTTAAATATATGATGAATAGAAAAATAGTTTGTATATGTTAAATGATAAAATATTTAACTTAATTTTATAGGTCAAGATTAAACTTATTTATATATTACAATATTATTTTATTTTTAATTGACGTAAGATTTTTAAATAATATTTTTTGCAATAAAAAATATTATTATTTTATTTTATATTAAGATAAATGATTTAGTTCATTTTTATTAATTATTAATGTTCTAACATTATTAAAGTTGACTTTAATATTATCTAAGTTGAATTGATTAAATAATACAAGTATTATATTCATTTATGTGCTATAATATTATTATTTCTTTAATAAATATAAAAATTTTCAATATTACATAATATAAAGATTAACCTTTAACAATTAAGTGAGAATGAAAGTTTATACAAATTATTTATTAAATTTTTGGTTGAATTCCATACTAAATTTGGAGGTAAGTGCTCCTAAAAATAAATGAGATTGAGAAGATCCATCTACCATATATAATTTTTAATTTCATCCCTTAACTGAACAAGTTTTATCTTTTTTAAATATTACATTATTGACTAAGACAAAATGTTTTCAAATTTGCTTTTGGTTCATTTGACATAAGTCCCCAAGAGTTGCTTTCATTGAATATATATTGTTATCTTTAACAACTTTATACACAAATTCTTATTGTAAACTTACCTAATTCTATCTATATTTCTCACTCAGTTACGTATGAAAGTTCTTCAAAGCAAGAGAAGATTCATGTTGGCACATTCCAAATTTCAATTTGATTGGACAATGAATCCAACCACTCCAGTAGTACCTGTTTTGGGGATTTTTACAGCCCCAAATGTTCATTTGTTATAGTAAGTCAAAATCCAATTGTTACTAAAAATTGATTAAACTAGAAGTGAACAAATATATGACATGTTTGTCAAGGTCCTATTTCTACTTATATAAACAAATAAAACATTATAAATGAATGTTATTCATTCCTTTTAAAGATATTCATTAACATATGTAATAATAAAAATACAAATTCAAACAAACTCACAGAGAGGGTATTTTAAATTTCCTTTTATTAAATGCTAAGCAAAATGATGAGAAAGCAGAAAAGCAAAAAGCCAAAACCAGAAAGCTAAGATTGGGAAAGGCCCTTTACAAATTGAATCACACAGGAAACAAAAGGCTGTTACAAAGAAAGGATAGAGATTGATAATAAAAAACATAACAAGAAACAGTTTGTATTTGTGTTGTCACTGTTGTGTACACTGCAACAGCAATTGAGGTACAGTGAAGAGTAGTTGAAGCAGCTTAAGAGTAGATTAGTAAGAACCTTTTGAATTGCCAACTCTTTTCCTTTTATCTTCAAACATATGTCAACAAACACAAGGAGTCATAGACCAAATGGGCTCACAACAATGACCACCGTGTGATCATTCTTCATTAGCCATTCAACCTTCAACTGCACCCTTTTGTTCTTGTTCTTTCTTCTTTATTCTTCCTCTCTTGCACCTTTACATGGGGGCTCGTTGCTCTAAATTCTCTTTCTGCTGGTTCCACTCCCACCTCAAACCTTCTGTCATTGAGTCCTCTGACCAAGGTTTGTGTTCTGTGTTTTTGGGTGTTCAGTACACACACACATACCCTTTGTCTAGAAACTCTAGCTTCTTTTAAAAATTTTGTTTTTGCTGCAGAAAATGGTGAGAAGGGTGAGAGAAAGTTGTGGCCCAGTTTTGGTGAGTTCAGTTTGGAGCAACTGAAGGCTGCCACAAATGGGTTCTCCTCAGAAAACATAGTGTCTGAGCATGGTGAGAAAGCTCCCAATGTTGTTTACAAAGGAAAGCTTGATAATGGACAGTGGATCGCCATCAAACGTTTCAACAAGTTTGCTTGGCCTGATTCTCGCCAATTCCTAGTTTGTAACATGCACTTACACTTCATTTTTCTTTTTTACAAAATTTGCCAAGGTTTTAAATTGCGATTGCAATTGCATCTAAAAGCTTGGTACTGCAGATAGTTGTGCATCAAGGTTTTAAACTGCAGCCATGGTGACAGTTTTGTCTCAATCCTTGATTTTGCAAGAAATTGTGGACAAATGTGACTGAAGCTGCCACAATTAAGGTCGAAGAGACTTCAAAATCTTTGACATCGCAGCCGAAATCACAATCGTGACCATTTTCTGAAACTTTTTAAAAAATGCAGCTGATATAATTGTGGCTGTGATGCAGTTGTGCGGATCTACAAATGCAACAGCCACAATTATGGTCATCATGCAGTTTTTGAGATCTCGAAAACCTTTATGTTGAGGCTGCAAATTGCAGACAGAAATTTAAAACTTTAAATTTCTAGCACATTTTTCCTTGTAGAGTTTGACATGATGTGTTGTGTGCTTTTAGGAGGAAGCCAGACAAGTGGGGAGCCTTAGAAGTGAGCGTCTAGCGAATTTGATTGGTTATTGTTACGAAGGCGAAGAAAGGCTGCTAATAGCAGAGTTTATGCCACATGAAACTCTGGCTAAGCATCTCTTTCACTGTGAGTTGTTTGACCTTTAACTTTTATGTTAATCTACGATAATCTTTCCTTAAATTGTGTCTTAGGACTTGTATTCTGAACATGCAAAAAATTATGGTTGATTTGGTGCAGGGGAGGCTCAGCCAATGAAATGGGCCATGAGGTTGAGGGTGGCTTTCTACTTAGCTCAAGCTCTAGAATATTGCACTAGTAAAGGCAGGGGTTTGTATCATGATCTCAATGCCTACAGGATCTTGTTTGATCAGGTATAAGGGGTGATTAATAAATGCTTCCGATTTCTAATTAAACCTTTTTTCTTACTATTTGTAACTTGGGACTGGCTTGTGCTGTATCAACAGGATGCTAATCCCAGGTTGTCTTGCTTTGGACTCATGAAGAACAGCAGAGATGGCAAGAGTTACAGTACAAACTTGGCTTTCACCCCTCCTGAGTACTTAAAGACTGGTAAAGTGTTTAGGATGTTTATGTGTGTCGGTTGCATGAGTGCATGTACTTGATCTTTGGCAAAACTGAAGGAGATCTGGCGCCGCTGAATCTGCCATTAAAGTATAGATTGGTCTGAAATACGCAGAATGGTCAAAGAGCCATCAATAATGTTGTACTGTTCTGTTTGTTAGACAGGATCTTTATTGTATCACAAAGGGGGCCTGCATTTACTTTCACACCCTCTTCTGCAAATAAGTCAAAAACTAATTGCTTTATTTTTTTCAGCTTTAGAAATATAAAAATTTGTCCAAAATTTTTATGAGAATTTATCTAGAAAAAATTCATCTTGTCATTTTCCTTTATATTTTTTCCATACCCTAAGGTAAATCATCCTCTTAGATGAGGGAAACATATGTGGAATTAGTTTCCATATGCTTACATATTTTAGTATGTGACTCTTGTTCTTTGGTACATTTGGTTTATACGCAGGTAGAGTGACTCCAGAGAGTGTGGTTTACAGTTTTGGAACCCTACTGCTAGATCTCTTGAGTGGTAAACATATTCCACCAAGCCACGTAAGCTTTTCCTACCATTGTTATGTCCTAAACAACTATGAATGAATGATATTATATTTAATCGTGTGTATTGTTTTTAATCTTGACTACTCAAATATGATCTAATAATCCATATTTGTACTTTTTATTTTAACAAGAGTTTTCATATGATATGCTTCCGTAGTCATAGTGTCAATTATTTAGAGTTATTTTAAGTTGCAAGATAGTGTGTCTACGTAGAAGTTTGTTAACCATGTCTTGTATAAGATGATTCATTGAGGTTCTGTTAATAAATGTCTCCAGGCACTTGATCTGATTCGTGGCAAAAACTTTTTGATGTTGATGGATTCTGCCTTAGAGGGTCACTTTTCAAAGGATGATGGAACTGAGTTGGTTCGTTTGGCTTCTCGTTGTTTGCAGTATGAAGCTCGTGAGAGGCCAAATGCCAAATCTCTTGTTACATCTCTTATGTCACTTCAGAAAGAAACAGAGGTATATTGCATGCATGATGAGCTTTGATAATAGCTTGTGCTTAGGTCTCAGATCTATTATTCTACTTCTTTTACACAAATATTTCAATTTCCCGGATATTTGAACCTGGATTTTGAGCAGCATTGAGGGAGACTTGATCTCGTAATCATGCTGATGATGTCCCTCCACACTCTATATTTTCTTTTCCAGTTTTTGTTATCCCTAAGATGTGATGATTATTTGTAGAATTTATATGAGCTAATGTGAGAAAAGTTATATCCATCTTAGGAAGACTATAATTTCTCATTTGGATAGTATATGAGCAGGTGCCCTCGTATGTTCTGATGGGTCTCCGGCAAGAAACTGCACCCACAACAAAGCAATTGTCATTGACACCTTTTGGTGAAGCTTGTTTGAGACTTGATCTTACTGCAATCCATGAAATATTGGAGAAGACTGGTTACAAGGATGATGAAGGAATTGCCAATGAGGTTTGCTACCATATTCAACTTAAAACAAAGAGGGTTTATATCACTTGAATAGAATATAAAAGAGAAGCATTGTGTACACACTTTTCCCTCTATTTTTGTTGTTGCTATAACTCTAATGTTGAGCCTTCTTAATCTTGAAATTGCAGCTTTCCTTTCAGTTGTGGACCAGTCAAATGCAGGAAACCTTGAACTTGAAGAAGCATGGAGATACTGCTTTTCGAGCTAAAGACTTTGTCACTGCTGTTGACTGCTACACTCAAGTAAGAGCATTTTTCTTTAATGTGCTAACAAATATAATAGGTTACTTATTTATATCTAACATAACAATTGTATAAACATATAAATTTGTTTCAGTTCATAGATGGAGGGACCATGGTGTCACCAACAGTGTATGCAAGGAGATGCTTATCTTATTTGATGAATGACATGGCACAAGAAGCTCTTGGGGATGCCATGCAAGCCCAAGTGGTATCTCCTGAGTGGCCTACTGCATTGTATCTTCAAGCAGCTTGTCTTTTCAGCCTTGGAATGGAGAATGATGCACAAGAAACTCTGAAAGATGGAACTAACATGGAAGCCAGAAAAAACAAAAACTGAAAAATTGTATAGATTTTTCCTCTCCTTTTCTTGTCTTCAGCATTATTTTATGCCCTTCTCATGTAGTTTTATTTGTTAGCTTTGCTTCCATTTTCCTCTTTCATGATTTATTTGTTTTTTGGCTTTCCGTGATGCCCGGGAGGGACAGAATACTGATTTGAAATTTTATACGCGTGCACCATCTTTTTCCTTTCTATTGTTTCACCTGCATGTCCTTCTTGTCTCCATCAATAATAAAGATGAAGGTGTCACAATGTGTTCATTCATTCACCTATGACTCAGAAAAGTGTTACCATAACACTTGATTCATTATTTATACTTTGTGTTAATAGACCCACTAATACATTATTTTTATTTTAGGTGAACCTCAATGTAATGCATGTACTATACATAAAATAATACTTAATGTTAAGAACTTAATTACAACACATTCAAAGTGATTTACCTTTCTATCCAATAATAGATTGACATGTATGATAATGATATAGTGTAATTTTTTATTAATTTAATTAATACATACTAATAGTGTAATTTTTTATATTGTTATTTAATTATAAATTGCTGCAAATTTAAGGTTTGTTGGATTTTATAACAATTATTAGAAAGACATTTAAACATAATTTCCAATTGTTTGACAGTGAATAATATTTACAATATTGATGAACACAAGATACAGCACTGAAGTGGTACAAGATTCTGACGATGAATAATCGGAAACCATACAGAGAAATGAAACAAATTCCTCTACAAATGATAGACAATATCCCTGTTGTCTGAACAGGAAAACACTATATAATATATCATTCACCAAAATCAAAAAAAGAAAGCACTATGAAGAAAGCCTCAATGTTGTTGGAGTAAATGACCAAGTCACAAGTTGGTGACTTGCATAGAGGCAAGGTATAATGCTTACCTATATATAGCCCTGGCAAGGCCTCAATATATGTAGGAACATTCATTTCTATAAGAAACAATCTCTCTATGGATTTTAGATTGTGATATCTCCTTTATAATGTTCTTTTCATCTTTCTCCTCATCATCCCTTAAATTAGCTTTCACTTTTCTTTGAATTACAAAAAAGACTATGATGCTTGAGGGAAACTATGATGAGGGCATGTTGAAGTGAAAAAGCCATGATATGACAAATGCAAAGACTATACAAGCTAGCAGAAAATTGAGGAAACGATGACCGTGCCAAAATCTTCGAGTTTCTGGTGCTGCTGTTGAGATTGTGGATGCTGCAGTACCATTGTTGCTGTCACTCAAACTCTGTGCTGTCTCCTCATTTGCCCCACAAACGTTCCGTGCAACAGAATGACATATTTCACATGTCCTAAGATTAAACAAACACAAAAACAATGAGACATAATTTTGTCATTTTCAACACTTTTCAGCGATAAATTTATCACCTCCTAAACAGAAATATCAGAACAAAGAAGTAAAGAGAACTCACATAGCTTTAGCAATGCATGATATATAGAAAAGAAAAGGTCATGTTGTCAACAACAACAAACATAGTACATTCACCAAATCAGGAGTTTCTTCTCATACACAGAATATGAACATTGTTGAACCAAGTCAGTTAACGTATGTGTTTGTACTAAGGTGTCATAGAAAACAGGATTTTATTCTTAGTGGTACAAGCCTCACTTGACTCCTTCTGAAAAGTTTACACTTGTCTTAGGTGGTAAACCATGCAGCTTCTTCTAAAATCCATTAACTAAAATATGATTTCATGAATTTTCTATTAATAAAACAAAAGTATGAATAGATATGTCAAAAAACAGAGAACAGATTCAAATTCCGGTTCACTTAATTTAGCCACTAATCATGCACTTGCAGGGGCAGAGCCAGAACTTTGGCCTAAAGGAAGCTGTGATAAAAGGCATGAGTAAGTAAAGAAGTTTTAAACTTTTATATGGGATAATGTATGCAAAAATTTGCTTTTGGTAACAAACATATTTGCCAGAAATTAAATATATTGATAAACATCATTTTATAAATAAGTACATGACTGACTGCTTTGAATAAAAAATAATGTAAGAGAAAATAAATAAATTTTGAAGAAAAAGACAATTATTTAGGGGACCATGGCCCCACTAGGTCAACACCTCACATTTAGGTTACCCCCCTCCCTCCACCACCTCATCAGCAACTACATATGCTAACCATAGAACTTTCCTCCACTGATGGACCCAAACATAGAGAAAACGGAATCCATCAATAAAACATGCACAGCAAAAATGAATACTGGTTTAAACTGTTCTACTATCTGCAAGTGACATGCGTTGAAGTGTGACAATAATTTACCTTAAAGTTCTGTGACTAGGATCTGGACATTCGTTGAGAAAAAAATTAAGCACACTAAAAGTTTGATGTCATCACACATCACAAACGAGCAAATTACCATCAATGGTCAACTTTTGGATTAAATTATCACAGGTGACACATCATCAAGCTATAAGCATCCACCAAGACTACAATATAAATCCCAAATACATGAACTGAAGGGTGAAGGCGTCAAATCTCTACTTTGATTGAGATAAAGAGAATGGAAAAGAAATAATATGAAAATTCCTTAATTTCTGAAAAGGGACAAAGCAACAAGGAATCCCACTTTGCTTGCACAACTCAGCCAATCAGTAAGACTGGCTAATGCTTTATGCCTTTCTCTTTAAGTCATCTTTAAATAATGTAATCTTCTATAACATTCCCCTCTCTCGAAGAAATGGTGGAACTTGCTGCCTTAAAGTTTTGTTCTTTGCCGGCACTAACCATTTTACTAAGTTCTCTCTCCACCATCTTCTTCATTTTACATTCAAAATTTAACTGAACCATTCACTACTTATACTGCCAACAAAACACTTCACTTCACTTCAGAATTTTTCTACTCTACAGTGTTGAGTATCATATCCATACGTTTCCACTGAACACAAGATGTCAGTAATTGTAAATTTTTTGCAAGCAGTTAAATGACTAGTTAATAAGCTCAAATTCCGAATGCAACAAATCATGAACAGATGGGTTTCTAGTTTCAGTTTTTCTAAAATTATGAAAGTTACAATAAAAATGAAGTTTCACCATTCAAGTGCATGCTTAGATTGAAATTCGAAAAATTTAAGTGAGTTTGGATGAACTTCATTTTACAAATGAGTTTGAAAAAACAACTATCCCCTTTCTTCCATTTCAAATCGAGTATCAAAATAAAACAGAGAAAAAACTCAGTTTACAGTTGGCTTAATTGAAAACCAAACAAGCTTTTTTTTACAATTTTTTTTTCAACGAACTTTGAGACTTCCAAGTTCCAATTGAACCAAACATAACCTAAGAAAAAATAAAGCTTTAAAGAATAAACTCACCTATTCCCCTTAATCTTGAACCAAGCCTCAGCACAGTTCTTGTGAGCAGCACCCAAATCATCCTTACAAGAACATCCCAATTCAATGGGAACTCCAGATTCTTGACTATCACTCTCCAAACCAAGATGACAAATCCTGCAATCCCTCTCCACTTTGGCCAAATGCACCTTAATTTCAGAAACCCCACCTTCAATTTCCAGTTCTACTGAACAATCTGTAACAGAAGAAGTCCTCCTGGAATCAGCAGCACCCCCATCCTCAGCATCAGAAACACAAGAAAAGGTGTAATCATCATAAGGGTCACCATTTGTTGAGTAGAAATGGGAGTAGCATGAACCATTATCAGCATCAGAAAAGCACATGCTCATGTCACTGCCACTCACAGAACGCTGGTGACTCCCTTGCTCCAAATCCACATGACACATCTGTAGACTTGACATTTTAGAGAAAAACAAACAAATTTTCAAACCTCAAAGTTTGTAGCTCTTTACCAAACCAAGCACCTCTTGTACCAGACAAGTGCACATATAAAAAAGATGTTAAAGCGTATAAATTATTGTGAGAAATAGATTAGGTGACAATTGCTTGCAACCCCATTAATGCATCATTCTAGAAGTTTCAAGTTTTGGAACAGGTTTAGGAAAGTTTCATGCTCTTCAAGGCTCCAATGGTTTAGAGAGGGGGATAGAAGGGTGTGTGAGGAAGGAGGCAAAGATTGGTGTGTAAGAGAGAGACTCTCTCTTGGTGTGGCTGAAGACAGGGACAGTGACAGTGCAGACAAGAACAGAAAACGTGCAGTGAGAGTACAGAGAAACATAGCAGGTTTTGCATAGATACAAGAGGTGTGGGGCATTCAAAACAAAAAGATGAGGAACATTAACATTAATAAAGTAAGTGGTAACTAGATGTTGGTGTTTTGGTATCCTTCACGTTAATCACATAATCTTAATAATTACTCCAAACCACAAATATATTATTATATGGGGATCACATTATTCAGAAAGGAAGAGGACTAGTTCATATGACACCAATGGTTTCAGTTTCTATATATTATGGGGTTCAGCCTATGGATCATACATTGCTAACCGTAACATTATCCAGAGAAACCAAAAAGTTTTAATTATTAATTAAAAACTATACCAATAGAAAATCGAATTAATCATGTTTGAATTTCATTTTCCCGCTTGAAGAGATCATTTTCAGGATTCAGGATGGATAATTCAATATTTATCTTCATTCTTGTTTCAACTTGAAGTTTAAACTTCCTAAAATATTAACTCTATCTTTGTGATTTCTCTTGTTTTGCTCATATTACACATAGAAGGTTTTTTATTATTCCACATTCTTTTCTCTTCACTCTTGTCTTTCCGGTTCTTTTAATATCTTTAACCATTGGAATACACTTTTCTCTTTCTTCGCATTTCATTCTTTAATCTTCTCCAATACGTTTAATCAATTCTTTAATCTCTTCTATTAATTGCAAAAATACATGAACTTAATTATTTACCTATATAATGTACATATTATACATCGATTTTAAAAGAAATTAACGTCATTTTATTTTAGTTTTTTTTTTAATTTTACTATTCTTATTCATTTCATCTCCAATTTAATGATGATTAAATAATTATATTTTTTTATCTTTTATAAGTAAAAACAAATTTTATTTTTAAAAAAATAACTAATTATTGGAACAGAGAAGAAAATATAGTTAGAAAAATTTACAATATAATTTTTAAGAACTTATGAAATAACTAACTATATAGTAATTAAGATTTTAATATAATTTTGTAATAATAATAATAATAATAATAATAATAATATTCTACGTCCATGACATATAATGAAGTAATATATATATATATATATATATATATATATATATATATATATATATATATTCACGTATATATTTTAATATAAAATATAAATTTACTTGTAAAATTATAAATATTAATTTAAATACGATAAGTTATACATATAAATAAACTTAAAATTAATTTGTTATATTTTATCATATTTTATATGTAATTATTTTTTTTAAAATAAAATGGAGTGAGGATGAGATGACGATGGAGAAACCTAAAACGCACTCAATTTCTACGTGAATAAGTTGGAGATGGGAACATGATAATTAAAAAGATTAAAAAAAAATCAGGCAAATTTTGTAAAAAAATTATTATTTTACAACCCAAAATATCTCTAAATGATATTATGTAATGTTATTTTGGATTGTTTATTTTCAAACAATCATCACCTAAATTTGCACCCATGCTTAATTTAATTATATATATATATATATATATATATATATATATATATATATATATATATATATATAGATTAACATTGAGATTTTGGTTTAATTTTTTTTTAATTTGTTCTGACTAAGGATGAGAATGTTCGATTTTATATTTATTACGAAAATATTATTAGGAATAATTACTATATCTAATGGGTTATTCATTTTAAAATTTATATATTGTTACAATTTTGTACTTAAAAAAAGCATCCATGTATTAAAAGAAGAATGTATATATAAATTATCATTGATCTTTACTCTTAAACAATATAAGACTATTAGAATATAGTCTCCTAGTCGACATCAATATTTTATCTAAGAACAAGAGTGTTTAGGCCTCGATTAGGGGTTTCGACATGCTTACAAGTCTCGTATCCTTAAAAGTCGAAACCAATTATAATTTATATATATTATCCTCTCTCAAATCACTAAGTCTTCTTTCAAGGACTAAATTATGATGAACTAAAATTTCATAACGGATAATAACTCAATGTAATAATTGATGCTAACGATATTATCACAATTGGATATAAGATTCAAATACTCTTATTTTAGATGAAACACAATTTATTTTATTTTCCTTCAACGAAAAATAGATCTTGAGATCTCACCTTACCATTTACATATAAGTAAAGTGAGAAAATTTGACATACATAGAATTTCGAATTTTTTTTTGTCTTGAAGAAGAAAAAAAAGGGAGCAAAGTTGTTTTTAAGAAAAGAAAAAAAAATTGTTGCCTCTTCTAAATTTGCATACAATGAAAAATAATCATTTTTTTATTATTAAAAAGTAAATAATTTTTTATAACATCTAAAATAATGAATAGTTTCTTGCTAAAAGTAGCGTAATAAAATGTTATTTTAAAAAAATTCATAATTATGTCAGCGTTGTTAAAACAAATATTCAAATTTTATCATGATATATTGACAAAAAAAAATTAGAGAAGTAAAGAAGGAAATATTTTAAACAAAATATATTTAAATTTCTTATAATATTTTTCTTTAAAAAAAAAGAATGATAGTTTTAATATTGTATTTCAAATGGACTTAATTTTAATTGTAATTCTTTAAATCTTGGAAGGGTTCCTCTAATTAAATCATTTATGAACAACAAATGCATTTTACGACATAAATGTTATTCAATATTCAATATAATATAATATAAAATAGAGTGAGAATTTTGTAAATATTAAAAGATATTACATGGATTATTGCAATAAATGAATATGCAATACTACGTTGGTTACATATCTCGAATTCTAACTCAATTGTTATAACAAGTTATGAAATATTCCCTTTTAAAACACAAACGAAATTTCATCGTTTTGTGCCACTGTTTGCCACCATCGTCATTGTCCCTTATTAAGCCATTGTTTGTCATCCTCCTCCATGCGAGATTGTTCTTCTCCGTTGTACGCCACTATTGTCATGTCTTTTTCTCTATATTCAACCATTGTTGCTACTTTGAGGTATTATTGGTAATATCTTCACTTCTGCATTTGTTTTCCGTGGAGATCTATCAGTCCTTTAATATCTTCCTTGGTTGCAGAGTCAACGCAAAAGGGTTTTTCCTAGTTGATAGCTGGTTCGAGACGAGTAGGGATGCGGTGCTTGAGATGATGGAGAGCAGTCAGAACTTGTTCTATACTGGATGTTTTCTACATCAGTTACAGTACAACCCAATGTAATAGTTATATATTTATTTATATATATCATAAATAATAATACTTAAAAGTAAATATATTATATTATATATATTTAATTATAATCAAAGTTATTCATATATTTTATTTTAATTAAAGATATAAATTTAAGAAATAAATCATGTACATAAGTCTAATTTTTTTTACTCAACTACTTTAATATATATTTTGTCCATATTTAATAAAATAATATATATATATATATATATATATATATATATATATATATATTATTTTGCAAAGGTTTAGGGGTAGGATTTCTTGTTGAACTTCTCACTATTTGCTTTTGTTTTGTGGTTTTAGTTGCTATAATATGTTGCTTTATTTTTCAATTATTCTTTTGAAAAAAAATCTTTCAGATTAGTATTTTTTTTAATATATTTAATATTTTTAATAATTAAAAAATTAAAAAAATTATAAATGAGCATAAAAGAAGAAAGAATATAAAATACAAAAGCATATTAAATATTGCAAAATGCAATTCACATAGCCAAATTATGTTTTTAAGTTGTTTTTTTTACTGAGTTTTATTTTTCAAAAAACATTGCATGTTTGGAAGTTGACTTACAAAGTTTTATTTTAAGTTCAAATATTGTTTATTATTCATATTTATTTTAGGCTTATGAATTGAAATTAAAATAATTTATATATATATATATGTATATATATATTTAATATATTAAGATGTTTTTTAAAAATAAAATTAAGACGGATTAATATTTTAAATTAGATACATATCTTAAATATAATAATTAACTATAATAATATTATTATAATAAATATAATAAGATATTTTTATTTTTAAACGAAATAATATACTGACACACTCTTGTTCACTCTCGTTCGTTTATTAAAATTCATTTTTTCAGTCCTAAATTGAGGATCTTAATCTTATATTGATAGCATAAACTATGAAAACGTATTTTTTTTTTTTCATAAAAGGAACTAGGAAGTACTTGATATGATTGTTCAATTTGACCAATCGTTGGTTCCAACTTAACATGTGACAGCGATTCAACACCATTTTGTATGATCTGAACAATTTGGATGATTATTTTCACATTTTTTTTCTTTAAGTTAGTGGAATATGGGATTGGATAAAGGAAAAGGTGACCATTGAAATGTCCAACAGAATAAAGACAGATGGTAAACAGATGCTCAATTAGACTAGAGTTTTCATCGTATTCACAACAATGTCCTTTTTCTTTCTGTTTTTTCTTTTTTGCTTTATATTTAGAATGATTTGACAACATCATACATGTACTATGATTGTAATAACAAAACAAAATTAGAGAAGAATCTTATTAGACCACAAGTAAAAATTTTAATTTGGATTCTCAAGTTATATTCTTTTATTTTTCATTCTTGACCAACAATGAAAGTAAGGTAGGGTTAATCTTAGAAATAAATTCTAATAGACAATTATAAATATATTTTGACCTTGTATTCTTCTATAAATAGTTTCATTTTAAATATAAATAGTTCAAATTGTAATTCAAAAATTTTGTTCTTTGTTCTAAATCAAATAAAGAAACTATTAAATAAACAATTAGAGTTTCCTGAGTTTTCTTCAAATTACCGCTGCAGATCCTACCGTCATTATGGTTAGAGAAGTGATTTTCGTAACCAGTCACAAAAAGAATGGCTGCTAGAGCAAGCAAATCACACTATTCTACAAATTTGGAACCTTTTAATCCACGTAAATGGGAGATGACCCCACCCTAAACTTAAATCACAACATTATATTTTAGTTCCAAAAAAAACATGACTTTGTACCTTAAGTTATCTACGGACATTTTAATAAAAGGCTTTCTAATATCTTGAAAAATGGAGAGAAAAAACATAAGTAAATTCTAGATTCATTATAATCCAATTTTAAGTTCATATTCAAACAAAATTATCTTCCAATCCAATATATTTTGGAAACTAAAATAATGTATTTTTGTTAAAAGTTATTGGAACTGGTAAGTAGTCCAAGAATCGAATTTTGTAGTCTTAAATTAATATTTGGTCAACTCTAATTTAAAGGATTGATGAAATTTATTGAAAACTCCATAATCATAATCTTTAGTAGGAACAACTTTTACTAAAATAGGCTGAAGTCATGCCTAGCGACTACAATTTATCTGTTCATTTTTCAGTTTTTAATAGATGTGGACCATGTCCATGAACCGAAAATATATTCTTAGTTACACAAGTTCTATTATTTTGAAGTTAGTAAGATTATAAAATAAAAAGAGAAGCATACAATTTTTTTATTTACTTACCCATAAATTTCAACAAATATTAGAAAGCTTGTTAAAAATATATATCAATAAATGTTTTGCTAACATTTCTCATTAGGATAAAGCCAGGAATAACTCGTCGGCATTGTTTAAATTTCACTCACACTAACGAAAGTAAAACAGCATTCGAGCAGCAACTCAAAACTTGAAATGCAAGTAATTTTCCCTTTACGACGAACATTTGTCAGCAATTGTAGGTTTCCAAATCAAGTCCTAACCAGTCAAAATTAAGTCCTAATAAGTCAACACCCAAAAAAACAAAATTGTTTCTTGAACTCATAAACCCCACATTGTACTTAACCTAGTGAATCCATTTACATTATAGCAGAGATTCACTCAAATTTGGTAGCCTAATTACATTTGCAAGGAAAATAGACTATCATAACTAAAGCCTGCATCATGCCCATTATCCAATCTTCACTCAGAATAGGAATGATGATATATTTGGCACTCTAATGGCCAATATGTACTTGAGATCCATTAGACATTACACTTCCAGAGGTGTTTCCCATCATTTTCACACTACTACTCTCCAATCCACTTTTAAGCCAAGCAAGGTTGCTAATGTCTGTAGCGATTGCAGCCAACTCAAAACTTGGAAAAGATGCGGGTTCAGAAAATTCAATGAATTCCGGTCCCAACAAAGAGCTTTCGGACTTTCTAGCATTTGGAGAAGCACAGCAACCATGGCCACACTGGAGAGGCACTGATTGCTCACCACAAATTCCCTCAAGCATTCTACAAAATTCGATATCAGGTTTTGATGATTGTAGAATGGGTCCTTGCATCGAAACAGGTCTTTGAATTGATGCCGAAGGCTGTATACCATCAAATGCGTGATATACATTGAAAGCACTGACGCGTGCTACCGGCCGATAAAGTGTAGGTGGATCGTTGACTTCGTGGTGTAATTGACCCTCAGCTTGTGCTTTGTCATCATATTTATCACCCACGATCTCCACAGAACTGACATCTCTTACATCTCTCGCTTCTGAGGATTTCAAAGAGACATCCCCACATGATAGTGTCTCTTCCGAGGATGCTTTTGCTTTCTCCAAGCTAACATCTTCCATGAAGTTGCCAGATTCTAATTTAATTTTATCAAGTTCAACTCCCCGACGCCTCAAAGTGGAATTCCAGTGGTTCTTAATGGCATTATCTGTTCTTCCGGGTAGAAGCCTCGCAATAGCTGCCCATTTGTTCCCATGGATTGCATGAGCAGCTACAATAATGCGGTCCTCCTCATCTGAAACGAATTGTATTTGGTTAAGACTGTATCTTTAGGAAATTGGTATGTGAAGATTTAATAGATGAAATCCCGAAGTTTCTAACCAAATATATCATAATTTAATTACCAACATAATACAATGCAATAAATGTTACCATAGTATGAGTTTGTCCTTTATAATATTGCATAATCTTATCCTAACCTATATAATGAAAGGAGCCCAATATATGTTGAGCATTTTACAGAACGGCAGGGATTTTCATCCATAGTGTATTTTGGTTCCAAAAGTATTTATTATTATATAATTTTGAGGGTAACCCTAGGTGCACTGATAAGGTTGCCACCGTGACCTAGTCGTCATGATGAGTTCAAATCTAGGATATAGTCTCCCTCATCACATGGGTTAAAATTGCATACATCTAGTCTCCCCAAACCCCATCAGGCAAGAGCCTCGTGCACTGAAATGTCCTTTTTATCTCAATTTAGGAGAATTCATTTTGAGTTAGCATATTTGTTCTTTTCAATATCTTCTTTCAAGTGTCAGCAAGGAGAGCATAGGCTAGATATGAGGCAAATTGGCCTTAGTGGGTCTAAACCCAAGATCAAGAAGTGATGAGGACTAGAGATTGTAAACGTAGTTAGAAAGTTGGCTGAGAAATTGAAATAGTTAAGAATATAGACTTTTTAGGCAACAAAACTCAGTTAATAACAAAATAGAAAGTATACTAAGAACTGCCCCAAAACAGAAATATCCTCTATTACAGTTTATAACCGAGGAAAACTTTAAGAGAGAAACAACATGAATGGAGCAGAGCTCCCTTGCAGAATTGTAAATAAATTAAAAACAACTTGAACCCCTTCTCCAGAGGAAGAATTTCTCCTCCCAGCCTGGCTAGTATCACCTCTCCTTTTCTCCTCACTCCAAATTCCTACTCTTTCCAACTTCCTACATGATTCTCATATATCTCTCCTCACTCTCCTTCTGCCAGCTGTTCATTCTGTTACGCCCACCTTCTCTCTTTCTTGATACATGGCCCACTAGATTTTTTCTTCCCTCACACACAAGCAACCCTTGTTTCAGAGGCCCATTTATCCCTTCTTCTATTTCCCCACCCCTTCTTTTCACTCTCCTCGTTTTATATACTTTCACTATCAGAGACTTAGTCTAAAATAGTAGGATTAGTGCAGAAATTAGATTTGTTAGTTTTAAGAAGCTGGGAAGTAGCTTAGTCGTAAAGAAGCTTTGAATAAGTGGAGTGCTTGAGAAAGTGAACCAATAATGACAGTACGCAATTACTTTCTATGGCCTCTAATTCAGAGAACATTCAGACAAATATGGTTAGTACTGAAGAAATTCCCCAATCAGTGGATAAGTGAATGAAGAAACAGAGCATTTGCATCAGCCTTAGATCCCCACTCCTAGAGCAATATCTATTTATGAGATATTTTCTTGTTATGTTGAAAAACTCAATCTACCTTATATTATAAATTATGCTAATGTGTTTTCTATCATTTATTCATTTCAAGGTTTATATAAAATTCTAATTTTTGTATATATTCATATTTGTAAAATTTATATTAACATATGCATACCCTACATTTTTTTAAAACTTGTATCCCATACCTGTATCTATGCAATGTGGTCAAGGATGACATGAAGGCTTTGAAGAACCGGGGAAGTTCTTTGAAAGAGAATCAATTATCACAGGGAGAAATTACTTACTGTTGGTTCTAAAGGAATTTGCCAATCAGTGGATAAGTGAATGAAGAAACAAAGCATAGGCTTCAAAAAGTAAGAAAACCATGAACAACCCATCAGAAGAAACAAAAAGTCAAGACCGAATAAGGAGAAAACAGAGTCATAAATGGAAGACAATTACGAGTCATTCTATGATGAATCACAATCTTTAGCTAGAAAGATTGAATTGCCCCACATTCATGGTAGCAACTGAGTGAGATGGATTGCCCTAGTTGAGAAACCCTTCAAAGTGCAACAAATAAGAAGCTTCAATTCAACTGTCATATAGCTATTAGTTGTCAATATGTTATATTGGTTAGTTTTAGAGCTGGAATGATTAGAGAAACAAGGCATGTAGCCTATAAATAGGGACATCTTGTCAATTGAGCAGAGTTTAGGTCTTTGGGCATTGGGAGGTGCAGAAGTTCTGCATTGTGTTGTCTTCCTGTAAATTGTGAATTTCTTACCTATTATTTATAGTAAAGGCAGTTTTCCTTCTGTGATTCTGGTCCAGCTCCTATCATCAACTCACATTAATAATCATGGAGGGGTCAGACAGCCAGTTGTTTGGGTTCTTGAGAAAGAATACATCAGATTTGATGTAGAAAATTTTGGCAGTGGCCATGGTTCAAAAGTTTCCAAGAAGACGTTTGTGTGAAAGATTAGCTACCTTGCGGCAAATGGATTTATTGATCAATGCAGGCAAGATTTTGGATCATGGTGAGAAGGGCAAAACACAGTGGCAAGGATGTGGAGTGTGGACACCATCGCATCTTAGTTCCCCAATTTCAAACCAGTGGACAAGCCCACAAGATTTAAATATGAGTGGTTGACATTGATAGGGCCAGGAGAATAGCTGGTTAGAGTAGTTATAGAACTGATCAGGCTGCTAAAGTTGACAAGATTGTGGACTTG